GCGTCTCCCTTACCTGCGAGTTCTTCCTCACTCCCCCTACATGGTTGTGCAGTTTAGGTTTTTGAATGGCAATATTCACATGGGTCAACACTGAAGACTGTAAGTGAAACGTTTCCCTAAACTCATCCTGAGTTGAGTGCGTCAGTCATAATGACAAGGATAATCGGGCTCCAGATCTTTCTTACACCTCTGCCCAAGGCTGAGCTGAAGGCTGGAACTGGGATGGAATTGCAGTCAGAAAGCCCATCCTAAAACATTCTAGCAGATCCCGCAGTTGCAGGGCATCGCAGTCAGGGGGATAGGTGTCCTAGAGCAGGGCCAACAGTGCATCGCAGCAGCAGCAGCTTCTCCCTGAGTATCCCAGAAGGTCAAGGGGGCAGTGAGGAAGGAAGTGGGTGACAGTGCTCTGTGCAGGGTACAGAAGACCTCCTGGGGCCGCCCAGTGGGAGGTTCAAGAGGGGCAGGCTCCCTGGGAGAAGGGCAGTGGGGACCTGGGGTGCTGTCCAGTGCCCTAGGAGGGTGACAGGCGGTGGCAGAGTGGGAGGTGGCAAGGGGCCACCCACCATCAGCAGGGTGGCTCCCTCATGCCCACCTGAGACCCCAGACTCCCTAATCTTGAGGAGCTTGGGCCTATCTCAGAGGAGGGAGTGTTTCTTGTTCCTCTCAAAGAGCCAGTTTTCTTTTTCTTTATGCCCCAGCGACTATGCCTAGTATATTATCTAGAAAAGAAAGGAAACAGAAAAGCCCAAAACAAGAAGGTACATAGCATTGTTGATTTTATTTTATTTTTGTTACTCTCATTGGAGCTAAAAAAGTTCTGTGTATGTCAGCAAATGACGGTGTTGCTTCAGGGGGAACAGGTTTGAGTCCAGGGAAAGGCTAGGTGTCTCCAGCACTTGCCAAGTTCCTATTTCCTCAGAAGACCTTGTGCTTTGGTGCAGTTACAGTGCCACTGTTGGAGCAGTGACTTTGAATATTGCTTCAATAAAGCAATGACTTTGAATAAAACTAGGTGATTTGCTGGGCAGATAAAGCTTCTTCATAAAATTAGAGCTTTATGTTGAGAAACAAAATATGTAGAGCGCTATTTGGTGTTTTATTTGCAATCTTTAAAAATCACACTCTAAAAGACTTTCAGGTCTGGATTCAGGGCCTTCCCAGATCCCTGAACCGGTGGACGAGGAAGCCTATTCCTTGCAGATGAGGAAATGAAATGGTCACTCTTCCCTTAGTATCTGGTGAAGGGTTCTGGCAAGAGGGAGTCAGGGGAGAGAGAGTTAGAGAGAATGTCAGGGGAGGTGTTTGCTAGGAGGTTCTAGCTTTACCTACAGGACTTGCTTTTGGTCAATGTCAGAACCTACCCAGGATTAGCATCCATTTAGCAATCCTGTGCTTTTTATAGGACTTTGGGAGGTAAAATATGCTCAGAAGTCAGGTTTTTGTTGTATTTTTTTCTTTTAGATTTAAAAAAGGATCCCTAGAGGCAAATGCTGTCTTTGTCTTCCATTCAAACACACATATTCGAGATGGACAGATTGGAAGCCCCCGGAGGCCATGAGAAGCCTGCACTAGCAGGCACACACTAAACAAAGCCTCCACACTCAAAGGAAGGTCCCTTTTGCTAAGGGAAAATTACTTACATAGAGTGCTCTGTGACAAAAATGACCCCCTATCCCGTATAAACATCATTCAGCAATACCTTGTATGAATCGAGCTTGGTTTATTTTATATCTTAAATTGCATTGTCAAATGTCCTTTCTGACATTTTTGCTATGAAGTCCTGAATTTCTAGCTTGCTTCTAAACTGCTGAGTGCCACACTTTCCTGACTATTCTAGGGTTCTCTGAAATGCACAGGAAGTCTCTGTAGGTTTGACAAGCTCTCCCCACCCTGTCCTCCACACTCTTATTCCAAAAGCGTACATTCAGCATTTGAGAGCTTTTAATGATCTTCCCTCTTAGCTCCCTTAAACACACATATACTCTTGATGAAGTTAATAACAGTTTCATTTTCAATCAGCTGACTAGAAAGGACCTTATCTATCCTCAACCTTTGTCAGATATTCCTAAAAAGCTTGACTTTTTTTTCTCCTAACCTTCAATAATGCTGTTTGGACAGATGCCTGCCAAGTCTGTGAACCCATATTTTTCATCTGAACTTATTTTTCAATATAGCAGTTTATGAATTGGGGCTGGGGAAGCAGCACCAGAAACCAAAAACCTGGAAACTAGACTTGGGAACATTATTTGAAATAATCAGAATAAAAATTCTTTCATTTCTTAAACATTCTACAAGTACTGTTGTGAACATCTATTATTGTCCTAGGCTCTGATAATACGGCAGTGAACAAAAGACAAAATCCTCCCCCTTAGGAAGCTCAAGTTCTAGAGGAAAGAGACAGTCAATAAACTAAACTAAGGGAAATAAAGCAGAGATGGAGTATAGGGAGTATTTGTTTACAAGCTTGAAGAAGGTGGCCCTTGAGTAGTCCTGAAGGTGAACCAGGGGGCTGTGCTCACATCTGAGGGAAGAGTCGCAGGCACAGGAAACCACAGCAGGCGCACGGGCTCCCAGGGGAGCATCCTGGAGAGAATGAGAAGCAGGAGGATCTGGCTGGAGCAGCAGGTGAGGACGTCAGAGAAGTCAAAGGAGGCAGCAGACCCCTCAGAGCCTTGTCCAGTAATGTGGCTTTTATTGCGATGAGATGGGAGTCCAGCGGAGACTTTCAAACAAGGGATTGAGAGCATCTGATTTAAAAGACCACTGGCTTCTGGGTTGAGAAAGGAAGGGGACAGGTGTAGAACTAGAGGAGAGACCAGTTAGAAGGTTACTGCAATCATTCCTAACAGATATTAATCAGAAGAATTTGATTGGGTTTCAAAAAGGGAAGAAAATGAGCTTGCAGAATTACACCCCCCCCAAAAAAAAACCCAGGAAGCAATTATTTTTTGGATGTTAAAGTTTCAAGATAAAGATCAATTTGTCAATTATTCTGCTACCTTATCTCCTTCAGACAGCAGCAGGCTTGGGAATTCTGCCCAGCTAGGACTTCAGGATTTTTTTTTTCAAAGATTTTATTCATTTGTCTTTAGAGGGGAAGGGAAGGAGAGAGGGAGAGAAATATCAATTATGGTTGGGTCTCATGGTTGGGTCTCATGCATCCCCTGCTGGGAACTGGCCTGCAACCCAGGCATGCGCCCTGACTGGGAATCGAACCGCGGTTGTTTGGCCCACAGGCTCGCGCTCAATCCACTGAGCTACACCAGCCAGGGCGGACTTCAGGATTTTTTTCTTCTACTTGGCTGAATCTAGTAGGGGTTGGTCAGTGTGGTTAAGAATGAGCCTCATGAAATTCAACAATATGCTACACGTGGATAGACTTTGAGGGCATTATGTTAAAAGAAGCCAGACACACAAAAAATCCAGTACTGCATATTCTACTTATATGCATTATCTGAAATAGTCCAATTCATAAAATCAAAGCCTGGATGGTAATCACCAGAGGGTGGGGGAGGGGAAAATGGGAATCAAGATGAATAAGCTTTAGAGATTGATGTGTGACATTGGACCCATAGTCAACAATAATGTATTGCATACTTAAAATTGTTAAGATGGTTAATATCATGTTGTTTGCTTACCATAGTAAGATAAAACTTTTGAAAAGAGAATGAAGCCGTCACATTGAGTAGAATATGAAGTTACAATGGAAGCACTCTAGATGAGGATTCTCAAGTGTGCATAAGTGTGTGCATGCGTATGCACATATTTGTTTTTTAATTTTTGCTAAAACAGTAATATTCATTAAAGAAAATTTGGAAACTAATATTAAACAATAAAAAATTGTAATACAACTGTTCTGGGAGGGGGCGTGGGGAAAGGCCCTGACTGATGTCACTCAGTGGGGTCATCCCGCAGACCAAAAGGTCACTGGCACCATTGCGGGAGGCGGCATGTGCCTGGGCCACGGGCAGGTTGAGGGCTATCCCGGTTGGGGGTCGTTCGAGAGGCAACCTGATCGATGATTCTCTAGCACACCGCGGTTCCTCTCCCTCTCTTTCTCCCTACCTTCCCCTGTCTCTAAAAATAAATAAAAAAATAAAATCTTAAAAAAAAAAAAAGAGCCTTCCTGTGTCTGCTTAGAATGTCCCCTTCCCTTCCATTTCCCAAAGTTGCCTGGGGGCCTGTTAGAAGTACAGACTCTTGGTTTCTACCTTTTCAGTAAGCATGAAATGGGGTCCATGGGATGTATACTTCCAGCAAGAATATGAGTAGATTCTTATAATTTGGAAGATGGGGAAATTGCTTAACTCTAAACCCAAGTTCCACGCACCCTTCGGGGCTTGGGGCACACCTGGAAAGCGTTGCAGAGTGCCCAGGCTGCCAGCAGGTGGCGGCACCTAACTGCAAGCTGCAAAGCGCGCGCCTCCCTTACGGAGAAGCAGGATGCCAGGAGAGCTGGTCAGTGCGATGCTGGGGCCATGACTACGAAAGGGGGGCGCGGCCGGTGTCCCGGCTTCATTTTAGGCTAACGTGCATCTTAAGCCGTGCCCAGTGCGCTTCTCGGGCTTCTGGGACAGGAAGGCTCAGCCCTCTTTATCCGCACCAAGCACTAGGGAGCTGTAAACGCGGTGCAGCGAGAAACCAGCAGCCTCGCACTGCAAGACGATAGTTCAAATGCTGCCAAACCAAGTGTTGGGTTCCACTACCAGGCTCCTCAGGGAACCGTGACCCGAGGACCGCCCCTTTTCATTGGCCACCAGACGGGGAGCCCCGCCCCCTTTCGTACAGCTCTCCTCTGTGACTGGCTCTCGGGCTCCCACTGGCCACACCTCCTTCCCTCGCACATACACAAGAGTCACGCGCCTTTCAGTTGGAAACTTGGCATGGAGGAGGATCGTGGCCCTCAAATCCCCACCCACTTACCTTACCATTGGCCCGCGGCTCCATTCACGGCCACGCCCCCATTCCAGCCCCTGGCTGGGAGGGCGGCCGCCAGCTCTTGACTGGCTGGTACGCCTGCCTCTCGCGGTAGCGGCTGGTCCTTTCCCCTCCCTCTCCCCCCAACCGCGAGCCTCCTGGTTCCTTAGGCTGGTCCAGGACGAGTCAGTGTCAGTCAGGGAGGCGGACTGCTGAGCACTGGGTGCAGACGCTCCATTGCAATCTCGCTCAGGGGCCGGTGCCTGCACTCGCGCCGCCGGCTGGGAAGGATGAAGCCACAGCTGGAGCAGCCACCCTATGATTGGCTGTGGCGCTTGTGAACCCAAAGTAAAGATGGCGGGCGGGCAGGCATCTGCCGCACTGCCCACTTGGAAGATGGCGGCGCACCGCAGCCTCAGCGCCCGCGGCCGGGGGGTCCTGCAGGCGGCGGCGAAAAGGCTGCTGCCGCTGCTACTGCTGAGTTGCTGCTGCGGCGCAGGACGCTGCGCCGCGGCGGGCGAGAGCGAGGAGACGGTGATCATCGGGTTGCGGCTGGAGGACACGAACGACGTGTCGTTTATGGAAGGGGGGGCGCTGCGGGTGAGCGAGCGGACTCGGGTCAAGCTGCGGGTGTATGGGCAGAACATCAACAACGAGACGTGGACCCGCATCGCCTTCACTGAGCACGAGCGGCGGCGTCACAGCCCCGGAGAACGCGGGCTGGGGGGCCCCGTGCCACCAGAGCCGGACAGCGGCCCCCAGCTCTGCGGTATGCGCACATCAGATATCATCATCTTGCCCCATATCATTCTCAACCGCCGTACATCGGGCATCATTGAGATCGAGATCAAACCGCTGCGCAAGATGGAGAAGAGCAAGTCCTATTACCTGTGCACATCGCTGTCCACGCCAGCCCTGGGCGCTGGCGGCCCGGGGTCCGGGGGTGGCACTGTTGGGGGCAAGAGCGGCTCCGGGGTGGCCGGGCTCCCGCCGGCCCCATGGGCTGAGACCACTTGGATTTACCACGACGGCGAGGACACCAAAATGATCGTGGGCGAGGAGAAGAAGTTCCTGCTGCCCTTCTGGCTGCAGGTGATCTTTATTTCGCTGCTCCTGTGCCTGTCGGGCATGTTTAGCGGCCTCAACCTGGGGCTCATGGCCCTGGATCCGATGGAGCTGCGCATCGTGCAGAACTGCGGCACCGAGAAGGAGAAGAATTATGCCAAGCGCATCGAGCCCGTGCGCAGGCAGGGCAACTACCTGCTGTGTTCGCTGCTGCTGGGTAACGTGCTGGTCAACACCACGCTCACCATCCTGCTCGACGACATCGCCGGCTCAGGCCTTGTGGCCGTGGTGGTCTCCACCATCGGCATCGTCATCTTCGGGGAGATCGTGCCCCAGGCTATCTGCTCCCGGCACGGCCTGGCAGTAGGGGCCAACACCATCTTCCTCACCAAGTTTTTCATGATGATGACCTTCCCCGCTTCTTACCCAGTCAGCAAGCTGCTGGACTGCGTCCTGGGCCAGGAGATAGGCACAGTCTATAACCGGGAAAAACTGCTGGAGATGCTCCGGGTCACAGACCCCTACAACGACCTCGTTAAGGAGGAGCTGAACATTATCCAAGGGGCGCTGGAGCTCCGCACCAAGACGGTGGAGGACGTGATGACTCCCCTCCGGGACTGCTTCATGATCACCGGCGAAGCCATTCTGGACTTCAACACAATGTCGGAGATCATGGAGAGCGGCTACACTCGCATTCCAGTGTTCGAGGGGGAGCGCTCCAACATCGTGGACCTCCTGTTTGTCAAAGACTTGGCATTCGTGGATCCAGATGACTGTACTCCCCTGAAAACCATCACTAAATTTTATAACCACCCCTTACACTTTGTTTTCAATGACACCAAGTTGGACGCTATGCTGGAAGAATTTAAGAAAGGTGGGAAATTTTGGTATCTTTCATTGGCTTGCTCTTTCTCTCTCTCCATCTTGCTCCCTGCTTGACTCAACCCCCCAAGGCGAGTTGACCGGAATTTCTCCTCTCTTTTAATTGCAAAGTTGAAAGGGTGGCTTGGATTTGGGGATGGGTTGAACTAGAAAGCGCTTGTAGGTTCTTTAAAAGCACAAGATTGCCATCACTTCCTTTTTCCCATGTCAAAAATGCAGGCTTCCTATTTTCTCTGCACGATACTTTCCTAGGTCTTTGGTCTGGAGTGCTCTGCTGCATTCATTGCTTGGGTTGTGAGTGGGTGGATGAAAGGGGGGGGGGCAGCTAATGCCATGCTATGCCATTTGGTTGACGTATTAATCGCAGGCATTTGGAAAACATTTAAATAGCTTTTCTAAACCTAAAACAGTCCCTTTCCTTCTCCTTAAACATTCACTGACGTTTCGGAGACTAGGAGTGCATTTTCAATAGCTTCTGTTCCTGGTTGTCAGGTGACCTATGGAGGAAGACTGAGGTCTTCCTCTGGTGACGGGGGTGGGATAAACCAAGTATGACAAAAAAAAAAAAATTTCACTCACTTGGATGTGGCTTGCCTTAGCTAGAAAAGAGGTTTCTTGTTTGTTTGTTTTTGAAAAACACTAAAGTTCTTTATTAATATATGACTTGAAAAGACTAGAGGTAGGTTAACCTTTTATGAGGCTATATCTTGTCTGAAGTTCTTCACTATTTGTTTGTATTTACCCAACAACAAATGAAATTTCCCAAACCAAATGTGGTTTTGGCAGAACACCTGAACCTTTAACAGTGGGGCGAATCTCTCTATTGTGGTTTATTTATTCCTTTAGTTTTCCTGGTATAAAAGTGTTCTTTTTAACCTTGATCACCTGGTACATTAAACAGCAGTTTGCCTCCACATCAGCATTCACTGTTCCAGGGAATTTTAACAAGGAAGAGAAGTGCAGAGTCTGAGGTGCTCACCTTTTTTGCATTGTGGTATATTTTTTGTTTGTTTTACCATGTAATGCACAACTAAATAGCAACTCATACTGTTGTTACTGAAATCCTGCCTTAAAAAAGTTTCCAGTAAATAGCTTGTGTTATTTGTTTATATAAACTTTAAAGACCTGACAGTCCTCAAAACTAAGTTTTCATTCTTCAAAAGGAATTTTGATCACAGATAGTGGTTCAAGACCATGTGTGAGGCTGACAGCTCACTGGATGTGGTGTCTCAACATACTCACAGCGTGTGTGGTTGTCCTGATTTCATCTTCCTGCCTGAATGGGGTCCTCTCTGGAACAAATTCACATTGCAATCATTTTCAGATAAAGGAGTAGAGTAGAATGTGCCTCTGAGATTGGTGATTTGCATTTAAAAGCAGAAGGATTTTCTTCTGGGTTCTTTTTTTAAAAATATTGATTGATTTGAGAGAGAGAGGAGGGGAAGGGGGTGGGTGGGAGAGAGAGAGAGAAGGGAAAGAGAGTGGGAGGGAGAGAGATAGGGAGGCATCGATTGGTTGTTCCAATTATTTATGCATTCATTGGTTGATTGTTGTTATGTGCCCTAACTAGGCATTGAACTTGCAACCTTGGCATATTCAGGAGACACTCTTAACTAACTGAGCTACTCCACCAGGGCCTCTTCTGGATTCTTAAACAGTAAAAAGAAAATGTCCATTATCTCTAGGTGACAGCTTCTTTGGCCTGTCATTATTCTTTCACTGCCAAGTCGTTAATTTGACCTTCTAAGCAGTCTCTTCTTTGATTTTTCAGTAATATCTATAATACAGAACGATATTTTTAAATGCTTGGAAATGCCTGTGGAATATTTTATTTTCTTTCTGTTGCTAAATCTGTTGCTAAATATTGATGCAGATGATTTATTCTCCATTTTTTATTGTTCAGAGTTTTTGTATGTCTACTGACGGATCGATGGCAATGTGTGCGCTCCCTGCAGAAGCCTTTTGTTCACTTTTTCCTTTGAGAAGTTCCTTCTGTGCCTCACAACCCATTAGTCCTGCACCTAACTCAAAATTTCAGAGTTGGCATTTTTGAAATTTGTTTCTGGTTGTCCTCAAATAGTTTTTCTATGACCGATTTATTTTCAGGGGGAACTCCCCCCCCAGATTACCTCTTCAAGTGTTTTTTGGAATGTCTCCCTTAAATAATTGAATTAGGAAATTTTCTCATGAACTCTAGAAAAATAATGCACAATATTTTATTTTTGTCTTTAACCAGAGTAATGTACTTGGTTAGGAAGATAGTACAAGTTAAAGGCACATTTGAGCTAGTGGCATATTTGGAAGGGTGGACAAAGACGGTTGCAAATGGGGAGTTTGAGCCCCGTTCTTAAAAGGATAGAGTGTGGGGTGTTACTTAAACTATGAGAATAATTGGCTTTTCCCCTTCCTCTTCTTGAACTTGTTTCGATGAGTTTGGCCACTTGAACCTTACTAGTACCTTAGTTTTTTCTTCTGCGAGAGTTAAAATATTTCACCTGCTTGTTTTCTCCTTCATTTTCTCACTCACTTATGAAACAATGTGAACAGTCAACTGTTGTTTTTCTCTAGTGAACAGTAGTGTGTGGGCTGGTGTGAAGGCTTTTTATTGCTCTTTTTCCCTCTTTCTCCTAACAGTACCAACTGTTAACCCCTCAAATCCAGATCTCATTGAACATCACCCTTCCTAACTGAGAAGGCCTGCACTGAAGCCTTTCCTGGGTGTTGTATTCAGGAGGGGGCAAGTTCCTGGAGTGTGTAAAGAAATGAAAAACTGCCTTTATGTAAGTGTATGTGAATGTCTTTTTTTCTGGTGGTTAGAACTTTTGTCTGGCTACCAGGAAACTCTTAGTTTTATCTGAGGTTGGAAGACAGTAATCATGCTAATTTTACAGTTAGCTTGTTATTATTGCTTCCTTAGCTCTGTGCCAGGCACAAGGCTGAATGCTTTACATGAAATCACCTTGCTTAATTTCATAAGAGCTGAGTGAAGCATTATCTCCATTTTACAAATGAGGACATCAAGGCTTCGGTTAAATGACTTGCTCAAGGTCACATAGTAATTTGTTGATTTGGGATTTTCACTCAGGCCAACCTTGTGCTCTTGAACACACTGTTATGCTGGCCCCCTGGGCCCTGATTTTGCATTTCTATTTTAATTGAGTGTGAGTTTTGGTCAAAACATTGCCTCAGAGCTTGTTGGGCAACAGACCCATAAACATATATTAGCATAGGTATGGCTTTCAACTCAGTGCTTCTGGGATGTCGTATATAACAGTTGGTGTCCCCACTGTTGTCGTTAAAGCAAATCACTTTTTGGCCTGAGTGATCCTAAATCGAATGAATTCTATTTCCAGTATTTCCATGTCCAGACATCAAGATTCAGTTTGAACGTGTTTTATACTAACCTAGTGTACTGGTGCGTGCTGCTTTAGTGGCTTACTCTGCACTGTTTTTCCAGTAGCTAAAGTGTGTTGTCATGTTTTACCCTTAGTTTCTAATGTTTGTGTTGCAAGGGTGACTCAAAGTCAGTATTGTGTTTTAACCTGAATTTTTTTTTTTGGAGCCACTTATATGGTAATTGGTCCCTGGTGAGCATCCGTCGCAGCTTTGCCCCTTCTGTGCTCCATGCAGTCAGGCTTTCTCTTTTTCCTTTGTTACTTATAAATGTAAATAAGAGAATGAAAGTAAATCCTACTAGAAGATTATGAGGATTTTAGAAAAATGGTCTATAACAAAAATAGTGCAGCGAAAGGAAAGGCTGAAGTAAAGGCTGCTGCCTTTGTGTGCAGAAAGCCTTCTAGAGGCTTTCGTTCATCTGGTAAGACCTTCCCAGTGAAAGACTGGGGACCTCAGCCACCTGGTTGTCTACAAGGTTGAATCTGAAGCATTAGTAACCAGCCATTGTTCTTTTGTTTTGTGTTGTTTACTGTTTAGCTTTGTAACAGTTGCATTCCAATATTACTGCTAGGGACTTAGCCAGACTGTTTTCTAGCTTTCTTTTAGGTAGGAATAGGTAGAATCACCAGGTAATGTTGTTGTTGTTTGTTTTTCCTGGCTAAAGGAGCATTTTTATTACTTTTATGTACAGAAACCTCCACAGTGTACACTCAACCCAGCTTGGTGGCCAGTTCCTTAGCCTTGGCCTTTTCCAGCTCAGCAGTGTGAGCCACCAACTTGGGACCCAGGACGTTGCCTCCCCATTGGCGGGGGATCTCATCATATCTGCCATTGTAACCGGTCCAGAGAGCTTCCACCAGCCTAGCCAGAGCCCCTTTGCCTTCCCAGTTAACCTGCGTGAAGGTGACGGTGGTGGTGGTGCAGGTCTCTGTGTGGACTAGACGCCCCACCTGGCCTTCCCCCGGGTGATGCAGCAGGGAACCCGTCTTCCGCACAGGGCGGCAGGAAGACGACCAGCTCGATGGGATCCACACTGTGTGCAGTCACCCCCAGCTGGGCCAAGAAGGCCCAAGAAGTTCTGGGCCAGGTGGTGACCCCTTCAACCCCTGCTCAAAGGACACGTGGCCTCTTGGTGTGGACATGCCCCTTGCTGGCAGCCTTTTTCTCGGTCCAGGCCAGCAATCTCTGCTTCTTCTCTTGGTTTGTCTCTGGCCAGTTCTTGTGGGCCCGCTGAGTAGCTGGGCCGCCGTCTGGCGGTCCAAGGCCTGGGGGAACCGGTTAGTGGCAGGAGGCACCTTCAGACGTTTATAGAGAATATAGCCCATGGCCACTGCAGCTGAATGTAGTGGGGCCATTTGACAAAGCAGGTGAGGTCCCTTTTAGATGTCCTGTCTGATGCCAAAATTCTTGGGCCTCTTCTCAAATGGGGGGATCACCACCTTCTTGGCCTCCTGCGTCTTCACAACGGCACGGGCCGGTGCTGCCTTCCTCCCCTTAGTCTTCTTTTCCTTCCGCATCCTGGGTGGCAGGAGGAGAGAGCCGGATGAAGCTGTTCTGTAAGGGAAGAATTCAGTATATAGTTTTCACTTAAAATAT